GAGTTGGTGCCAACTCATAGCAACCCTGTGCAGGGTTTCCAAGGAGTGGCTGGTGGGTTTGAACTGCTGACCTTCCAGTTCAAACAACTTTGCAGTCCAGTGTTTTTTTTATATAGGGCCACAAGGTTAATAGAAGTCAAGATGGGCTCCATGGCAGTGCTGGGGTGGTGGTGGCTTTTTGCTGAGTTTTCTTGGGAAGTGTGGACTGCCTTAGGAAAACCACTTGACCTCAAGGTAGGTCTGAACCCAAGGTCAGCAGTTCAAACTCAACAGCCACTCCTAAAACCCTATATGGGGTTGCTATGAGTTAGAACCAATTTGATGGCACTAAGGGCATACATGTTTCATGGTGATCCTATATAGGGTTTCCGAGGAGTGCTTGGTGAGCTTGAATTGCCCACCTTGCTGTTCAAGCAACTTTGTAGTCTGGCACGTTAACCCACAGTGCCACACCAGGACTACAGCATATACATTACGTGGTGGTGGCTGTGTGCTGTGGAGTTGGTTCCAACTCAGCGACCCTGTACGGGATTTCCGAGGCTGTAAATCTGTATGGGAGCAGAAAGCCTCATCTTTGTCCCATGGGACAGCTGGTAGTTTCAAACTGCTGACCTTGCAGTTTGCAGCCCAATTTGTAACCACTACGCTACCAGAGCTCTTACGGCATATACATATCAGCCTGTAAAGTCTCCCATTTAACTGGAAGGTGGGCATGATTCCTGGTGCTCCAGCAGCCATCTTAGACCACAAGGAAGCCACTCAAGGTGGAAGAAGCCAAGTGCTTAATTGTGGTCCAAGCTATAGTGTGTTTCTCTTTTCTCCCTCCTGTCCCAACTTGAACTATTTACTGGTGTGTGTCTACAACACTGGTCCTGTTTAGGATATTATCTAGAATTCCTGTAACCATGACAACCTTGAGCTACGACATCAAGACCTTGTTCTCAGACCCTGAAAGCTGTGCCTGGGGCGACTCACTGCCTATGAGTCTAAATATCTTCCTATGTTAGTGGGTGGTGACTTCTCAGATTTGAGGGTGCATCCCATGAACTAGAGGCTGAGGCCCCGAGTCTTGTCTTTCAGGATGCACCGCTATTAGTGCTCTTGAGTCAGTTCTGACTCAGGGACCCATGGGATTTCCAAGGAGCAGCTGGTGGTTTTGAATCGTGGATCTTGTGGTTAGCAGTCCAGTGCTTATCCTACAGTGCCACACCAGGACTACAAGGAGTCTGGAAAGGTGGGGGTGGTTCATAGGATATTATCTAGGACTAATGGTACCATCAGACCATGGTACTCCCATCTTGACCAAGAGCTGTGCCCCAGTTAAGATGAAGCCAACCTTTGAAACAGATGAGTTAACCCCCAGTTCCCTAACCCACCCTGCCATCTACTTAGCCTGTCATGACTGTCCACAGACACCCCCCCCATCCATGCAGTTACGAATCCCGCCATCTGACAAATCACCCATCTATTATCTGTCCATCTAGCCATGCACCTGTTAAACCTTCAAGTTGGCTCTGACAGCGACCCTGTATAAGGTTTCCAAGGAGCGGCTGGTAGGTTTGAATTGCTGACCTTGGGGTTAACCGTCCAGTACTTACCCTTCAGTGCCACACCAGGACTCCAGCCATCTGGCTACTCACCGACATACCTATACATCTAGATCCACTCATTTTATCTGCCCACTATCTATCCTCCACTCATCTGTTCGTCCTTTACCCAACCCCCATCTACCCACCATCCCTTTGTTCCAGTATCTCATCCTTGGACTCTACTTCATGTTAGGGCTGCTAGGCAGCCTGGCAGGACAGAGAGACCCTAAGTCACAGGAGGGAGAAGGACAACTAGCTGGAGTGAAAACCTGCTGAGCTGAGCTTTGGCTAGACCAGCCAGATGGAAAGACTATGGAATGGAAGGAAACCTCCAAGTAGCACTTCCATGTGTCTGGGGCCTTGCTCACTGTGTGATCCTCCCCTCTCATTGGCTGGGGGTCATGGAGGTAAGCTTCTGAATGGCTTCCTCACCTGTCCAAAGATGAGACCAGCATTAACCTAAGAACTAACTCTAGGGGCAAGTCCCTTGCCATTTCAAGTGCTGAGGGCTCCCAGGTCCTGTTCTTGGATGTGGCCAGGTGGCAGGCATGGCATGACTGAAGCCCTAGAGGGCAGACTGTGACCCTTTCTGCCTTATATTCTACCACTAGGACCCAGGGGGATCCCAGTCCCTGAACCAGAGTCATATAATTGAGAACCACAGTCTAGGCCCCTCAGAACTTAGCAGCATGGAGTCTTACAGACAAGAACATTTACTGAGTCCAGGGCAAAATTTTGGGGCCACGTGGCCTGGATTCAAATCCTGGTTGAGGGGGCTGTGGTCTCTCCAAATTCATAGTGGGCCACGGAGGCCACCCACAGGCCAGTCAGTGCTGGAGCCAGAAGGAGCACATGATCCCTTGTCCCTGAGCACCCCTGCTATGTCTCCATGGAACTACCACCCATCCAGCACCCTGACCAGGCGGCAGCGTCCTCCATTCCCGCCTCTTGGACTCAGGCTGTCTGCAGTGGCTGCACCTTTGGAATTTGCTCTGCACTTCTCTCCATCCTGCACTTTGAATTCTAGAACGTTCTGGATCTGCCCAATTCTCTTCACCCCTAAACTCCTGTCCTAGGAGGCTTCTCGGGTCCCTTGCCTACTCCAAATTCTCCTGTGATTTCCCATGGGCCTCAGAGTCAGGTCCTCGTATCCCTCCCTCTTCTTGCTGACTTCTCCAGTCACCCTGGCCTCCTGATGGTTCTTCAAACTTGCAAAGCTTTTCTGGTCTTGGGGCCTTTGCTCATGCCATTCCACTGCCTGGAGCGGGTCCCCTCTTGGCAGCTCTCTCCAGACCTGGCTACCCTGCTGCTAGCCTCTTGATCTCCTGTAGTTACCTGCTCCCAGAGGCCCCCACTCCACAGTCACCATCTCCCCCAAGTCTGCCTCCAACTTTCTCCTGGCCTCATTCTTGTCATTCTACACCTTCTGAAATGGGTAGTCAGCTGCAGGAAAATCAGTGTGCCCTCAGCTGGTGTGCAGAGCAGGTCTACGTGGCCCCACTGTATTTCCAGCTCTCAGCCCAGACCTCTGCCTGGAGCAGAAACACCCATGGTGGGAGGTGGGGGGAGGGGCGGGTGTCAGTGTGTTAGGAGGACGACATGGAGTTGGCAATTGGGCAGGGGGGATACAGAGCCCATTTTCTGGGAGACAGTTCCTGCCTGGATCTCCCCTTATGCTCCAAGTTTTCTAGAAAGAAGTTCCAGCTTCTCAAGAAGACTGAGGCAGGGTCACAGATCAAAGTCTCCACTGCCTTTTACCAGTGCAAAGAATTCTTAGTTCTCAACCCTACCTGCCTGGATTCCCTCCAGCCCCCAAGGAAGTGCCCCAAGATGACAGCGCTGGGTTCCCTTAGCTGGTGACCCCAGGCAAAGAACTTCCTCACTCTGCCTCAGTTTCTTCATCACACAGAGATAGAGACACAACAGACTCAATCTCTGGAGTAGTCAGAAGTCCCCATTGAGTCGAGTCCCTAACCCTAGATTCTGCACATGAGCCGCACTCTCCAACCTATATCAACACCCACCCTGCCTGGCTCAGTGCATGTTTGCTGAAGGAATAAAGGAAGGAAAGAATGAAGTGCTTTGAAAGAACAAAGTCAGCTTTGAGTCTTAGGGATCCAGTGTATTCCTCAGGCAGCGGGGGCGGGACCCGTTTCCATCAAGTCAATTCTTACCTATGAGGAGGGATCCCAGGTGCTTCAGCTAGAACTGCTCCATGAGGTTTTCCTGGTTGGAATCTTAACAGATGTGGATAACAGGCCTTTCTTCCATGGTACGTTAGATAGGTTTGAGCCACCATCCTTTAGGTTAGTAGTAGCTGAAGTTGTTAGTGCTGTGGAGTCCGTTCAGAATCATAGCCACCCCGTATAGGGTTTCCAAGGAGCTGCTGGTGAGTTTGAACCACCAACCTTGTGGTCCTGCACTTATCCCACAGTGTCACACCAGGACTCCAGTAGCTGAAGAAGGGACTGTTTGTCATTTACAGAACCGGAAACTGTGGCTCAGAGAGAAAACAGACTTCCCCAAGAATATAACCAGAACCAAGACTTGAACCCAAAGTGTTACCTATCTATCTTGGCAATGCTCCGGATCTGGGATCTGGAGAAATGGACTAGGTCCAGGTGCCGGTTGTGGAAGGCTTAAACTGCATAATTTTTCTTTATGTACCCCACCCCCCCTCTGGCCATGAAAGGAAAACCCCAGGGCTTAGGGAGAATGAGCTCTCAGTAGTTCAAGGCCTGGAAGCACAACAGGGAGACAAGACAGTGTGTGAATCATGAAGCCTGCACTTGGCTGCTACACCTAGCCAGTAGCAATACTCCCTAAGAGCCTCAGTTTCTCCACCTGTCAGTGGGGATATTAACAGCCTATGTCAGAGCACATAGGGACATTTGGGAGCCTTCCTCTCCCACCCTCCAATAACCATGTGGCCCGCCCACGCCTGTCTGTCTGTCCAGGGAGGAAAGGGTGCGGGTCCCGCCTGCTCCTACCCAGTTCTCAGGGCGGAGCCGCGCTGACCCCGGGGCGCCAATAAATCCAGCCTGCGGTGGCCAACTCCCCCTTTAAGCCCCATCGCCACCTACAGGGGCGGACAACGGGCGGCCCGATAGACGGCTGCACGGGACAGCCTGCCCCAGGGTAAAGGGACAGACGCCGGACAGACGGCAGAGGCAGACACCTAGACGGAAAAGAGGGACAGGAAGCAGGCGTCCGCAGCGAGGACCCGCAGACCCTTGTCCAAGGGATCCCCTGCTCCAGCTCCTTTCCCGCGCCCCGCATCGTACTGAGGAGGACAGGCGTGGCTTACCCTGTGGCCGGTCCTTCCAGCTCAGGCGCTGCTAGCTTCCCTCGCGGGGAACACACGGGACGCGCGGGCAGGGGCGCAGAGGGGCTTGGCGCTCCCCAGCTCTGATGGCGGGGGTAGGGGCACCGGCCACCTTCGGGGCCTGGGACTACGGGGTCTTCGCGCTCATGCTGCTGATATCCACGGGCATCGGGCTGGGGGTCGGGCTGGCACACGGCGGGCAGCGCAGCGCCGAGGACTTCTTCACGGGCGGCCGGAGCCTGGCGGCCCTGCCCGTGGGCCTGTCGCTGGCCGCCAGTTTCATGTCGGCGGTGCAGGTGTTGGGCGTGCCGGCCGAGGCCTCCCGCTACGGCCTCAAGTTCCTGTGGATGTGTCTGGGCCAGCTGCTTAACTCGCTGCTCACCGCCACGCTCTTCCTGCCGATCTTCTACCGCCTGGGCCTCACCAGCACCTACCAGGTAGGGCAGAGGTGGGATAGGCACGCCCAGTCGGGGAGGCCCCGGGGCTTCGACGCGCCCCTCGGGGAAAAGTCAACTCCTGGGAGCTCTAATGGGGCACCTGGAGGCAGACAGGTGGGAGAGTTCCGGGAAGCGGCCCCAGGCAGTGGAGCCATGGGCAGGAAGGAGGAAAAGGAGCCACTGGTCTGGTTCCTGATAGTAGTGTGGGCGGGGCGGAGTCAGGCGCTATCAGGAGGGGTCTCGAGAGGTGGCAGCCCCCTGCTCCCGGGTGTGAGTTCTCCGGAGTGCACGCCGACGGGGCAACCTCAACTCGGGATTCGACGACGTTCGACTTCACCATCTTGGATTTCTCCAAATAGCCAAATCCAAAAAAATCCAAATCCACTGCCATCGAGTGGAATTCTGATTTATGTCAACCCTATGCTGTTGTGTTAAGTCCATTGAGTCGGTTACGACTCATAGAGACCCTGTATAGGGTTTCCGAAGAGTCACTGGTGGGTTTGAACTGCCCACCTTGCAGTTGGGCTGTAACCTCGAAGTCAGCTGTTGTAATCTTCCAGTCGCTCTGTGGAAAAAAGATGAAGCTCTCTACTCCCATAAAGATTTACAGCCTAGGAAACCCTATGTAGGGTAGCTATGAGTCGGAACCGACTTGGTGGCACACACCCACCACCAATACCATAGGACAGATCAGAAGTGTCCCCAGAGGGTCTTCACACAATATTTTTGGATGGTGACTACCATCATCTTTCTCCCGCGAAGTGTCTAGTAGACCTTTCGGTTAACCCAGAGCTAAACCACCGACACCAGGGCTCCTTCAAGGGTCAAACAGGGCTAATTACAGGTGTCCCCCAGGGCATGACGTAAAACTATGTAAATAGTGACAGGTGTACAGTGATGGTGATGGTTCTGTGCCCTGAAATCGGTTCTGACTCATAGCAACCCTGTACAGGGTTTCCTAGACTGTAAATCTTTAAGGGAGCATAAAGCCTCATCTTTCTCCCGCACAACAGCTGGTAGTTTCGAACTGCTGCCCTTGCGATTTGCAGCCCAATTCGTAACCACTACGCTACCAGAGCTTCTTAGGTGTAGAGTAGACACCTGCAGGGAGGCGCCCGCGGACACTTCAGTGTACACCGGGTAGTAGCACCCGGGAAGTCCCGGCCGGTCCGATGCGAGTAGGGGGCGCGTGCGCATGGCAAACTGGTCCCCCCCCCCCCCCCGCGCCCATGCTGAATACACATGTGCAGGCACTGCGCGTGTGCACGGGTGGTGGGATCAGGTCAATGTCTGCGCTTGTCGGGGACCACCAGCAACAGTCAGGCGAGCACTGTTGAAGGGTAGAGACGAAGAGAGCGAGTAAGCATTACGGGAGGCCTCAGGCTCCTGAACAGGGCCGATCTAAGTGACCACGAGCCCTCTGCTCCTTCTTACAGTACCTGGAGCTGCGCTTCGGCCGTGTAGTGCGACTCTGCGGGACTGTCCAGTACCTAGTGGCCACTGTGAGCGGCCCTGGCCGGGTCTTCCCCGCCCACAGCCCGCCCCTAGACCTGCCCCATCCGACACAGATCCGCCCCTGCCCCCGTAGGCCCCACCTGGACCCCCTCCTGCATGGCCTGGTCCCAGCACCATAGACCTGCCCTTTCGCCGAGTCCTCTCCTACCCCTTCTGTGCACGGACGGCCCCCCCTCCCTCCCCCGCCTGCCTTACTCGTCCCGCCCCCTATCTGCAGACGCTGTACACTGGCATTGTGATCTACGCTCCCGCGCTAATCCTTAACCAAGGTTTGTTTCTAGGGGACGACGGGAGGGGGCTCGTGAAGGCTGACCCAGAGGAGCTTAGCTGCTGGACTTGAGCAGGGAGGAGAGAAAGGGGCTGCAGGTGCACCCAGCAATACTCCCAGAGAGGGTCAGAGGGGAAGACTTCTGGAGAGAGTAGGACCCAAGGGAGGAGGCACAATGTTGCCTAATGGAAGGTTCCCTGGCAGTGACGGGGCTGGATATTTGGGCGTCGCTCCTGTCCACCGGAGCCATCTGCACCTTTTACACCACTGTGGTGAGTAGCCCCATGAACCCACCCCGCCCCCTACAAACGCTTTCCAGGCTTGCTGAGTCTCTGGGTGGGTTGCCTAAAGTCCATCTCCTTGCTGCCCAAGGAAACTCATGTCCCCGTTAGGCTTCATTAACCTCATCAGTATGGAGTCCTGGTGTGGTGCTGTGAGTTAATGCACTGTACAACAAAGTCGTTTTGAATCTCAAGGTCGGTGGTTCAAACTCACCAGTAGCTCCTCGGAATCCCTATTTATACAGGGTCGCTATAGGTTGGAGCCAACTGAATGGCACTTAACAACAACATCAGTGGTATAATGAGAAGTGATCTGAAAGCCTTCTCTATGGCCTTGTGTTATTGTTGAATCCAGTAATAAAATGGTTTCAGGCATAGCTGGATCCAAAGGAGCCTCTGGATCCGTCTCCCATCTCTGAGGTCCCATTAGCTTCAAGCTTCTTCCAGTCCTGCTGGTGAGCTCTGTTTCAGGATAGGGCTGCCTAAAGTCCCAAGGAGAACTCCCATTGGGCTGGTTCTGGCCATGTGTTCAGGTTGAGCCATTCAAGGCAGTTTAAAGGGCTTGGATGGTCTAGTTAGCCATCCCTGGAGCTAAGGCCAGGGCCAGCCTCACCCTAATGAACTGTGAGAAGAGCAGGGCTTCTTCATAGAAAAACTCCAGGAGCTCCCTTTTGGAAGGGAGTTCCTGGCTGGTAAAAATGATTAACAGCCCTCCTGCTAATCAAAAGGTCAACACTTGAATCCACCCCGAGTTACCTCTGAAGAAAGCCCTGGCAGTCTACTTCTGAAAGAGTACATCCTTGAAAGCTCCGTGGAGCACAGTTCTATTCTGACACACAGGAGGTTTCATGAGTTGGAATCAATTTGATGGGAACGGTTGGTTGTTGCTGTTATTTTTTTCCTTCAGAAAGAAAGGCATGGAGTCTGGATGGGCAAAAAGAACAGCTAATATACTGGTGCTATTGGTAGCGTAGTGGTTACGAATCGGGCTGCGAACCACAAGGTCAGCAGTTCGAAACTACCAGCTGTTCCGCGGGAGAAAGATGAGGCGTTCTGCTCCTGTAAAGATTTACAGCCTCGGAAACCCTATACAGGGTTGTTATGAGTCAGAACCGACTCCATGGCACATAACAACAATTGGTGCTAAGTGCTGAGTTGGTCCGACCCATAGTGACCCTGTATAGGATTTCTGAGGAGCGACTGGTGAATTTGAACCGCCGACCTTGTGGTTCAAACTGACTTTGAGGTCAAGTGCTTATCCTACAGTGCCACACCAGGACTCCAGTATAGTGATAGCAATGGGAGTAGGAGTAATAATGACAATAACTCACAAAGCAGTTGAATGTGCCAGGTACTGATCCAAGTATTTTTCACTTGTATTGTTTACTTGTCACAACACCACTTATTATGAGGTACTATTATTAGTTCCATTTTACAGATAAGGAAACTGAAGTAGACAGGGGCATTGGGTGCAGCCATGACTGGAGACCAGGCCCACCTGGCTCTGGCCAGATTGACCTTCTCCCCTGTCTTTGCCTGTTTCGCAGGGTGGTATGAAGGCCGTGGTCTGGACTGATGTGTTCCAGGTTCTGGTGATGCTGATAGGCTTCTGGGTGGTCCTGGCCCGTGGCACTATGGTTGTGGGCGGGACCCAGCGAGTGATTGAGCTTGCTCAGAACCACTCCCGGCTCAACCTGGGGGAGTGAGTGACAATGTAGAGGGGGGTATACTGAAGGGTTGGAGAGTCCCACCATGAAGGGGGAAGTCAACCAATTCCTTTTCCTCTGGGAAATCCTCCCAGACCCCCAGGCAGAACCATGGCTCCCCTCTTTAGGCAACCCCCAGCTTCCATTTGCTCCAGCTTTGACACCCACCAACTTTGGAGCCTCTCAGATGTCCCAGCTGGACACGGAAAGAATGGTTTAGAATGCATACAAGAATGACTCTATGAATAAATAAATGAATTTTCAGTCTGGCAAACTCCTACTCATGCTTCAAAACCCACCCCTAAAAACCCTTGAAGGTCCATAAAACTCCAATGGCCCCTGGGATTCTTAGGTGGGTGAGGTTAGGGTAGTGGGCCCACATGACTGACTTACCCTACCCCTTCCTCAGCTTTAACCCTGACCCACGGAGTCGCTACACATTCTGGACTTTTGTGATGGGTGGCACGTTGGTGTGGCTCTCCATGTATGGTGTGAATCAGGCACAGGTGCAGCGCTATGTGGCCTGTCGCACAGAGAGGCAAGCCAAGCTGTGAGTGTTCAGGAGAGGTGTGGTGAGGTCTTCTAGGGGATGGCCATCCCTAAGTCCTCCAGCTGAGACTCCCCCTCCTTCCAGGGCCCTGCTCATCAATCAGCTGGGCCTGTTCCTGATAGTTGGCAGTGCAGCTGGCTGTGGCATTGTCATGTTCACACTCTACAGTGACTGTGACCCTCTCCTGGTGGGTCGCATATCGGCCCCTGACCAGGTGAGCCCTGCCTGATTGGGTACCCTTTTTCTGAGCCTTGGGAGTGAGGGTGGAATGGCATACTTAGCAGAGGGAAACAGTCTGTGCAGAGGCAGGAAAAGAACTTGGCTTGATGGGGGATCCAGGAGCTAGGAGGCATTGATTGAGGGATTCAGGGGCAAGCAGACACTGGTTGGTGGTGCAGGTTCAGATATAGAGACAAAGTGGTCCACTGGGAGGAGATGGATCATGGTTTGGACATGAAGTCTTTATATTAATTATTAGTGACCATCTTCCATGTCCCAAGCACCTACTCTGTTCCTCATGCTGTTCCCTGCTCAGTTAGTTGCCCATCAAATAACCCAAGAGTTGATGAGGCAAGGCTGTCCTGACACACTTTACAGATGAAGAAACTGAGACCAGGGGAGGGGGAAAGGAAGTGATCCCCCTGAGGTCAGGACATATGGAGTCCTGCCCTTGGGGTGAGGCTGACCTGGAGCCTGATCCTTGACTGTCCCCAGTATATGCCTCTGCTGGTGTTGGACGTCTTTGATGACCTGCCTGGCGTCCCGGGCCTCTTCCTGGCCTGTGCCTACAGTGGTACCCTCAGGTGAGCTGCCACACCCGATTGTCCAGTCTTTCCAGATCCCTCAGGGTCCCTTTGTCCCCGCCAGCAGCCTGCCAAAGGATGAAATGTCCTGGGTATGTCCATCTATCCTGCTCCATCTCCAGTGGGCAGCTCAGGTGGGCTTTGGCTATGGTATGACACCTGGTATGACCACACCTAGTTCCCTTCCCTCTCTCCTTTTTCTCCTCCCTCTCCCCTCCCCTCTCACTTCCTCTCTTCAGTTTTTTCTTTCTCCCCCCTCCCCCTCTCTCCTGGGAGCATAGCTCCCTAGGATAAGTACTGAACTGCCAACCAGTACTTTTAAGTTCATCAGCCACGTCACAGGAGAAAGATGAGGCTTCCTGCTCCTGCAAAGATGTACAGCCACGGAAGCCTTATATAGGATCCTTATATGTTGTTGTTGTTGTTGTTATGTGCCGTGGAGTTGGTTCCAACTCATAGCGACTCATAGTACAGGGTTTCCGAGGCTATAAATCTTCATGGAAGCAGAAAGCCTCATCTTTCTCCCATGGAACAGCTGGTAGTTTTGAACTGCTGACCTTGCGGTTCACAGCCCAATTCGTAATCGCTACGCTACCAGAGCTCTCCTTAGGATCCTTATATAGGGAAGCCTTACATAGGGTTCTATGAGCCTTATATAGGGCACTTAGCAACAACAACCCCCTCTATTCTGTACCTTTTTTCCGTCTCTCTCTCTCTCCTTCCATCCTTCCTTCCTTATTTTCTTCCCTCCTTCCAATCAGTGTTTATTGAGTATGCTGTTGTTTCAGTTCCTACTCACAGTGACCCCATATAGGGTTTCGGAGGAGTAGCTGGTGAGTTTGAACTGCTTACCTTGCAGTCCAATGCTTATCCTACAGCATCACTACGTGGCAGATATTTCTAAATGCTAAGGTTAAGTCCTGGTGTGCCACTGCAGGCTAATGTGCTGGTCTGCAAAGCCGGTGTGAACCACAAGCTCAGCGGTTCAAACTCACTGGTTCAAACTCACAGGGTTGCTGTGAGTCAAAACTGATTGGATGGCACTTAACAACAAAACAACAAAGGTTAAGCCATGACCAGTCAGCCCACACCCCTACCCTTGCTTCCGCCACCCCCCACCCCTCCCACGCTAGGGAGCTTTCAAATCCTTCACCACGCTTGGCTTGTGTTCCTCACTTGACTTATGGTCCCCACTTGATGAGCTGTGAGCTAGGTCCCATGCAGCATATGCTTGGTCCCTCAGGCACACATGGAGGGAGGATCTAAAGTCTTGGCATGGGAGTTTGGACAACTCTTCCTGGGGATTTTGTCACCCTGGCCTCTGCCCTTGTGTTGGCAAGGATCTGGCAGGCCAGATGGTGCATTTGTCTGGAGACTGGGAGCAGATGGACCCAGGAATGGGTGTGGTCATTCCTTAGAGGTGACATCTGAGCCCCACACATGCCTGTCCTCCAGCACTGCGTCCACCAGCATTAATGCAATGGCTGCTGTCACTGTGGAGGACCTCATTAAGCCACGGCTGCCGAACCTGGCTCCTCGGAGGCTGGTTATCATCTCCAAAGTACTCTGTGAGTTGGGGGATCCCCATGTGGGGGCCGGGGTGGCCTCTCTCCCTTGACCAATCAACACCACCCCTATAGCTTTCATCTACGGCTCAACCTGTCTGACGGTGGCAGCTCTGTCCTCCTTGCTGGGGGGCGGTGTCCTCCAGGTGAGCTCCCCACTCCTGCCTGGGTTTCCTTGAGGAGATGCCTGGTGTGGGAGGTATGGGAGGGACCTCCTTGGACTCACTGTTGTTAATTAATGAGTTGATTCTTCATAGTGACCCTGTACAGGGTTTCTGCGGAGCAGCTGGTGGGTTTGAACCCCTGACTTTGTGGTTCACAGTCCAGTGCTTATCCTACAGTTCCAAACCAGGACTCCTTAACTCTTAGCTTATTTGATGGGAAAGTAACTGCAGGTGAAGGCAACAGCATGAGGCAAGGAGGAGGCGCTTGGGACATGGGAGATGGTCATTATGATGATTAATATCAACACAGTCATTTTGTGCCCAACCCAGGACCCAAAACTCGCTTCCAATCTTTGCTTCCAATCCTGAAGAGAGAGCCAGGAACAGGGGGACCCCCTTCCTTTAGAGAAACTGGCATGGAGATATCTCCTGGGGTGCCCAAGATCCATAGTGAATTCCTCAGTCTCGCTTACCCTACCCCCAGGGTTCTTTCACCGTCATGGGAGTCATCAGCGGCCCCCTCCTGGGTGCCTTCATCCTGGGAATGTTTCTCCCTGCCTGTAATATGGCGGTGAGTAGGAGCCTTGCAGCAAGGGACCAGGGGGCTTGGATAGACAAGGCCCGCCCCTGACGCCAGCTCCGCCCTCAGGGAGTGCTCTCCGGGCTCGGCGTGGGCTTGGCGCTCTCGCTGTGGGTGGCCGTGGGCGCCTCACTGTATCCACCCAGCGAGCAGACTATGGGGGTCCTGCCCACCTCAGCCGCTGGCTGTGAGGAGTTGCCCTCCAACGCCTCCAGCCTCTTGGGTCCGGTGCTTACGTTCAACGCCTCCAGCAGGGCGCCCAGGTGAGCGAGCAGGTCTGGAGGGTTGGGGGAGGTGAGGGCAGGCCTGACAGGGTGTGGTCAGAGTGAGTGAAGGTGTACAGAGCAAATCAGTTTCCATTCAACAATTCGTATACATTTTGCTTCAAGTCACTGACGGCACTTCCTGCAAATTCACTTCACTTGTTCCATTTTATCCCTGTTTCCGGTTTCCAGTTCTAACTCTTCTGAGCTTTGTCCTTGGGCAGATGCTGTCCTTGTGGTTTCAAGTGGTTGGTTGTTCTACCTCCCTAGTGCTATTGTTCACTCTACAGACCTGTCTGTTGGAGTCCTGGTGTGGCCCTGCAGGATGACCCGCTGGACTGCAAGGTCCGTTTGAACCACAAGATCGGCGGTTCAAACCCACCAGTCGCTCCTCGAAAACCCTATACAGGGTCGCTATGGGTCAGAACCAACTCCAAGGCACTTAACGACAATATGTTTGACTGAAAATTGAGTGGGGGTGGGAGGGAAGGTGAGGGGGGAAAGAGTGTGAAGAGGGTGAATTCAGTTCCAGGCCTGAAGGATGACTAAAAACCAGTCTTGGGAGTTCCATCAGTCTCTATCCAGCTAATAAGCCTGGTCCTTTTTCGTTTTTGGTTTTGTTTTGATGATTTTTAGTTTTGTTCTATGTTTTTCTCCCACTCTATCCAGAACCCTCTAATGTGATCCCTTTTAGAGAGGTCAGTAATGATAGCCAGGCACCATGGAGTTCTTCTGGTCTCAGGGAGATAGGTCCATTGGTCCATTGCACTACTTGTTTCCGTATATCTTTGATTTTCTTCACTTTACTCCGGATGGGAAGAGACTAATAGTTGCACCTTAATTGACTTGCCAATACTTGTTATTGTCATTCTCATTCTAGCCATCCTAGTGGGTGGAAAGTGGTGTCTGCGGCTTTGATTTGTATCTCCCTGATAGCTAATAATATGGAGCCTCATTTCATGAGCTTGTTGACCATTTGTGTATATTCTTTGCCCATTTTAAAATCAGGCTACTGCTCTTGTTGAATTGTAAGTTGTTTCTAAGTGCCATTGAATCGGTTCCAACTCATAGCAACCCCATATAGGATTTCCAAGGAGCAACTGGTGAGCTTGAATCACCCGACCTTTCAGTTCAAACTCACCTTGCAGTTCCAACTGACTTTGCAGTTCAGTCCTTTAACCCACAGTGCCACACCAGGACTCCTGGATTGCAAGAGTTAATGATACATTCTGGATCCTAAGTTCTTATTAAATACATAATTGACAAATATTTTTTTCCCCATCCCTTGGGTTGTCTTTTCACTCTCTTGAAGACATCCCACCTTTCTTCTGTTTAAAACAAAACAAAACACCTTTTATTTTGGAAATTTTCAAACATTCATAAACAGAATAATATATTGAGTATCCTTCTAGTCATCACTGAGTTTTAACAAAAAAATTGCCGTTTTATTTAATTTATACCTCCACCCACTCTTTATCTCCCACTCAGTTTTTTAAAAACTTTCTATTGTGAATTGAGTGAAGGTTTTCAGAGCAGATCATCAGTTTTTTATTCAACAGCTCATATACTTAATTTCATCTCGATGATTACAATCCTCTCAAAGTAACATCATTTATCCCATTTTCTCCCTGTATTTCTTGTTTCCACTCCTCCTTCTTTCCCAACCCTCTGAATTTTGTCCTTAGGTAAATGCAGCCATTTGATCTTGAATGGTTGATCATTCTATGGTGTGTGTACCTCACTAATGTTGTTCCCGCTGTAGACTGATCTATTATTTGAGTAAAAATTGAGTCATGGAGTGAATTGTTTATTTTTCAGATTCAATTTTATACATATGAAAATGCCCAAATAGTAACTGTTCAGTTTTGATAATGGATCTACCCTTGCAACCCATATCTCAATGAAGATATAGAACATTTGCAATGCTCCCTCCCCGACAAAGAGCTCTTGCTCTCTTCTCAGTCTATTCTTTGTCTCTTCTCAGTCATTCTCCACCTTCCAGGCAAGCGGAATTCTGATTTTTTTTTTCCTCCATAGATTCATTCTACCATTTCTAGGATTTCATATACATGGAACCATGAAATATACATTCTTGTATGCCAGGCTTCTTTTACTCTCAATATAATATCTGTGACTTTAATTGATCTTGTTGCATGTGTCTGTAATTAATTCCTTTTTTATTACTGAGAAATGTTTTATGGCATGAATTTAGTTATTCAGTCTTCACTTGGTGGACATTTGATTGGTTCTAGTTTTTAGCTATTTTAAATAAGGCTGCTATGAACATTCTTGGACAAATATTTTGTGAACAGGTTCTCAATTCTCTTAACTAAAACACTGAAGATTGGAGTGGCAGAGTTAAAGGATTGATATAGATCCATTTTCTAGGGAAATGCCAGATCTTCTTCCATGTGATTGTACCATTTTACAAGTCAACTGGTAGTGTATTAGAGTTCTGTTTGCTGTAGGTCCTAACCAATCTTGTCATGGGTCTTTTTAATTGTTGTCATTCCAGTAGATACGTACTGCTTTTTCATTGTGGCTCTAATTTTCATTTTCTTGATGTCTAATGATGCTGAACGCTTTTCATATGTCTACTGGCCATTTATGTATCTTCTTTTATAAATGGTCTATTCGTGTGTTTTGCCTATTTTAAAAAATCATTTATTTTATGTTTTGGTGTGGTTGAGACTTTTCCCAGCAGGACATACACCAATGGGACGGTTTCTACATGTATAATTCAGGACATCGATTACCTTCTTTGAGTTGTGCTATTATTCATCTCAGTCTCTTTTTCTGAATTGTTTCTTCTCCATTGATATAAATCCATTACCATTTATGTGTCCTGTCTATTTCAGGCTGACATTCTTTACTAATTTCGCTAAATTTTGTCTTAAATTAAGATTTCATTTGGACAACATGGAAAATCCTTAAGCCCAATATCAGGATCTCAGAAAAAAAAACCCACCCAACTATTGCTTAAAGTTTAAAGATGATCTTAGGGCAGTCGATTTGGGGGCTTATCTGGTGTCCATGGCTCCAGAATAGATTCTAAGAGAATATTGAATCCTGTTTTGCGTTTCCTACTTTCTATCAGCATTCTTCTATAGTTGATGTTGTTGTTGTTGCATGCCATCGAGTCGGTACCGACTCATAGCGACTCTATGCACAACAGAACGAAACCCTGCCCGATCCTGGCTCAACCTCACAATTGTTGCCACACTTGAGCTGCCACTTTGTCAATCCATCTCACAGGGGGTCTTCCTCTTTTTCTCTGACCCTCCACCTTACCAAACTGATATCCTTCTCCAGTGACTGGTCCCTCCTGACTGTATGTCTGAAGATGAAGTTTGGCCATCTTGGCCTCCAAGGAGCACTCTGGCTGCACTTCTTCCAACACAGATCTGTTTGTTCTTTTGGCAACCCATGGCACTTTCAATATTCTCTTCCAACACCATAACTCAAACGCAGCAATTCTTTTACGATCTTCCTTATTCACTGTCCAGCTTTCACATGCATATGAGGTTATTGAAAATACCATGGCTTGGGTCAGGCACACCTTAGTCTTCAAGCTGACATCTTTGCTCTTCAACACTTTAAAAAAGTCTTGTGCAGCAGATTTGCCTAATGCAATATGTCATTTGAGTTCTTGACTGCTGCTTCCATGAGTGTTGATAGTTGATCCAAGAAGAATGAAGTCCTTGACAACTTCATTCTTTTCTCCATTGATAAGAATGTTGCTTATTGGTCCAGTGGTGAGGATTTTTGTTTTCTTTACATTGAGATGCAATCCATACTGAAGGCTGTGCTCTTTGATCTTCATCAGTAAATATTTTAAGTCCTCTTCACTTTCAGCAAGCAAGGTTGTATCATCTGCATATCACAGGTCGTTATGAGTCTTCCTCCAATCCTGATGCCACATTTTTCTTCATAGAACCCAGCTTCTCGGATGATTTGCTCAGCATACAGGTTGAATAAGTAGTTGGTATAGTTGATAGTGCCCTTTAATGCACAAACATTTAAAATTTTGATGGAATCCAATTTCTTTTCCCTTTGGTATTATGCTTTGGCTGTCATATTCAAGATATGATTGCCTAACCTAAGGTATTGAAGATTCGCTCCTTTGTTTTCTTCTAAGAGTTTAATTTGGTTTGATTCTGAGGGAAGTGAGGAACCATGGAGGGTAATGAGCATGCAGGGTAAGATCAGGTGATCTGAGTTGCGTTTCAGGAATGCTCCCTTTGGTTGTGCATGAAGAATGCCTGGGGAATAGAGAGGAGGGAGGCCTGGCTGCTAATGCACCTGTCCTACCTAGTAGGCACTGATGGAGGGCAGACTAAGCTGAGATTGTGGAGACAAAAGGAAGTGGATGGGTTGGAGATGGCTTTTGTATTGGAAAGGTATGAAGGAGGAGGCACAGCATCTGTTTCTCCCACTCCCAGCCCTGGTATGGACCCCAGCCGACCTGCCTTAGCTGACACCTTCTACGCCATCTCCTACCTCTATTACGGTGCCCTAGGCACACTGAGCACTGTGCTATGTGGAACTCTGGTCAGCTTCCTGACAGGTGAGCATAATGAATGACCTCCTTAGAGATCACCCTGTTAATTCTCTGCCTCAAAGTCAGCAGGAAGGGGACGAAGTGCTTCCTCTGTGCTCTTAGTGCTCATGATAACCCCTTGCATTTTACAGAGAAGCATTGAGGCACCTCACCACTACTCCATTAATTTGTGACTAGTGGTTTGGGCTGCAGGACGCTGTCCTTGGTGCTGAAATCACTTCTGACTCCAGCAGGGAGAGACAGAAATCCATAGTGTTAGTAGTACCTGTTCTCATTTCTTGAGTCCCAGTTCTTGTATATACTAGGTCACTAAGCCTCTGTTGAGCATATCTTCTGTGTCAGGCACTGCTCTCAGCACTGGGGACACAGATGTGAGTGGAACAAATCAGTGGACCTTCCAGGACATCCATTGATGTCTTTCAATCTCTCGCTGTATAGATGAGGAAACAGGTTCAGAAAAGAGCAATCTTGCCAGGGTCCTCCAGTGAGTCACTATCAGAGCTGATATTTAAACCAAGACATCAAACACCGGAGCCCAAGACTTTCCCTGTCCCTTACTGTGGCTCTATTCCCAGCCCCTATTAGCTCTTCATTAAGTATCTCCATTTCCCTTTGGTCTTCAGGGCCCACCAAGCGCAGTGCCCTGGGTCCTGGGTTGCTGTGGTGGGACCTAAAGAAGCAGATGGTGTTGGTGGCACCCAAGGAGGAAGCAGCACCCCTAGATGACAACTTGGCCAAGGTCAGTCCTAGTATTGAGTTTCTAAAATGGGGAGAGGACCATGGATGCTCTGGGTGCTGCTGTAACTCAGGGGAGGGGTATGGTGGGAGTTATAGCATCTTCCAGACTCTCATTACCTCCAGTGGGAAGGCTCACTTGGGAGCGGATATGTATTCCACACTTTTTATTACCCTAAAGGTCTCTGGATGGGGCAAATGGTTTGCACTTGGCTACTAACCTATTATTTGGCTGTTCAAACCTACCCACCAACACCCCAGAAGACCTATCTGCTCTCATAAAGATTACAGCCAAGAAAATACTATGGAGCCGTTCACACTCTGTAACATAAGGGGTCTCCATGAATCAGAATCAACTGACTTAACAAAGAATGAGCAAAGTTTAATAATATTTATTTACCTGTAGGTGTGCCTGACCCAAGCCAGGGTATTTTCAATAGCCTCATATGCATGCGAAAGCTGGACAGTGAATAACGAAGACCATAGAAGAATTGATGCTTTTGAGTTATGGTGTTGGAGGAGAATATTGAAAGTGCCATGGGCTGCCAAAAGAACCAGCAGATCTGTGTTGGAAGAAGTGCAGCCAGAGTGCTCCTTGGAGGCCAGGATGACCATACTTCATCTCTCATACTTCAGACATATTGTCAGGAGGGACCAGTCACTGGAGAAGGATATCATGTTTGGTAACGTGTAGGGTCAGAGAAAAAGAGGAAGACCCCCAGTGAGATGGATTGACAAAGTGGCAGCATCAATGGGCTCAAGCGTGGCAACAGTAGTGAGGTTGACGCAGGACCAGGCAGTGTTTCATTCTGTTGTGCATTGGGTCGCTATGAGTCAGTACCAACTCAATGACACCTAACAACAACATCAGTTTTTTTAGTTACCTGTAACTCACGGCAAGTGGAGCTAGTCTGCTGTAGTTAGTAGTACCATCAAGTGGGTTCCATCGGGTCAATTCCTGTATGCGTGACAGAATGAAACACTGCCTGGTCCTGTGCCATTCTTCCCATTGTCATGTTGAAGCCTGTTGTTGCAGTCACTTTGCCAATCCATCTCATTAAGGGTCTTCCTCTTTTGTGCTGACCCTTTGTTTGCCAAGCATGAAGACTAGTTCCTCTTGAAAATATGTCCAAAGTAAATGCAACAAAGTCTCTTCAGTCTCGCTTCCAAGGAGCATTCTGACTGTACTTCTTGCAAGATGGATTTGTTACTTCTTCTGCTGTCTATGGTACTTTCAATATCCTCCAGTACTGTAATTCAAATGCATCAATTTTATTGTTCAGTTTTCACATGCAAATGAGGTGATTGGAAATACTGTGGCTTGAGCCAGGTAAACATTCGTCCTCAAAGTGACATCTTTGCTCATTAACACTTTGAAGAGGCCTCTTGCGGCAGATTTACTGTTAGGATACTGATAAAGAAATCTCTTTTCAAAATAAAATGATCAGTTACCAATTTCTGTCTAGTCAGCCCTGATGCATGGTGGCCTCATGTGAGTCAGAGCAGAACTGTACCTCCCAGGATTTTCAATGCCTGATTTTTCACAAGTAAAGCGCCAGTCCTTTTTTCCAAGGCACCTCTGGGCAGACTCAAACATTTTGGTTAGCAACTGACTGTGTTGACCATTTGCGCTACCCCAGGATGCTGCTGAAGAGATTGCTGTTGTTGTTATGTGCCGTGGAGTCAGTTCCGACTCATAGCAACCCTGTACAGGGTTTCCGAGGCCGTAAACTATGGGAGCAGAAAACCACATCTTTCTCCCGCAGAACAGCTGGTAGTTTCGAACTGCTGACCTTGTGGTTTGCAGTCCAATTTGTAACCACTATGCTACCAGAGCTCCCTGGATGGAGAGATTAAACCTCCCTAAAAACAAACTGAGGGCCCTGCATAGCAAAATGGTTTGGGCTTGACTGCTAACCGAAAGGCTGGTGGTTTTAACCCACTCATTGGTGCTATGGATGAAAAGCCTGCAAATTAACTTCTGTAAAGATTATTGCCAAGAAGCGAGCACACGTCTATTCTGGCATTCTTGGGACTACATGAGTAAGAATCAACTCGGTGATAGCTGCTTGGAGGAGGTAACAGTGAGCTCTGAAGGAGGAGGAAGAGCCAGCTATTGAGAGATTGGGGAGGGGTGAGTTGGGGGGTACATTCTCAGAGAGGTCCTGAGTCTAGAAAAGGTTTGGCAGAGGAGATTTGAAGACTGGGGAGGGAAAGGATTTGGTTGACATTTTTAAAGCCCCCTCCAACTGCCACAGGGAAATATTGTATTGACTTTGGTGAAGGGGGGCAGGCAGACAATCATAGAAAGGGTAGGTGGGAGGGAGGGCAGCTACTGTAAACACCTGTACCAAGGCTGATGACCTGAACTTGTAGGCATCATAGGCACAAGGTAGAGACATGGATAGAGGTTTCCCAGGTAGCAGGGGCAGAACTGAAAGCCATGGGTGGTCTCAATGCTTAATGTGCTTGACTGCTCACCAGAGGTTGGAGGTTCGAGTTCTCCCAGAGGTCCTCAGAAGACAAGCCTGGCAATCTTCTTTCAAAGAATCAGCCACTAAAACTCTATAGAGTACAGTTCTACTGTGGCACCCAGTGATTGGAGTTAGGTTTGGCAGCAACTGTTTTGTTTTGTTTTGAGGAGTAAGGACTTGTAGGGGTCCTTTAACAATCAAGTGTTAAAATATTTTGCAAGTTGAATATATACTTACAGTGCTAGTGATTTTAGACTACTGGTGTGGTGCTGTAGGATAAACACTGGACTGCAAACTACAAGATCAGTGGTTCAATCCCACCAGCAGCTCCTCGGAAACCCTATACAGGGCCACTATGAGGCAGAATCAACTTGATGGTACATAGCAACGAGAACTGGACAAGGGGTATTGTGAGACCCTGCCTGGCTCCCCTCCCAGACTCCCATCTGTGAAATGAGCTGACATAGATCTTTCTTCTCCCTTCCCCACAGGGCCCTGAGGAACTCCCTCCTGGCAACAAGAGACCCTCTGACTTCCTGTTCATCCCTGAGGACCATCCATTCTTCCTAGAGCAGAAGGAGGTGGAGGTGGCTGGCTTGTGGACCCCTCACAGAAGCCAAGATCGTGGCCCTGACCTAAGGGAGTCAGACCTCTGAGGATGAACGAAGCCAGTTAGACTGGCTGCTTAGGATGGGACCTCCAGACTGGCCAATCCCAGACCAGGGGACTAATGGCTTTGCTCCAATTGGCTGGACCCATATTATATGCAAATTAGACTGACAGACTCTGCCCTGTATGAAGAGAAGCTCCACCTCCTGGTCATTTTGTCCATCCCCCTGCTTCCAGCTACTTCTAGTCTTAGTTGCGATACCCCTGCGGCTGCCCTCAAAATGTTGTCAGTCATTTCTCTGTCTAGAACACAGAAGTGTTAGGATTTCCTCTTTACAACATGGAAAACCCCAGGTCCAACACCAGGGTTTCAGAAAGACCCCAACTCTCTTCTAGGATTCATCTGGACTTTAGAGAAGAATTTAGAGGTTCTCAGATCTACCCGCTTGCACCTCATTTCCTAGGCAGGGAGACTGAGGTGCAGGGAGGAGCAACAACTTGGTCAGGGACACACAATACCAATCTCTCCCTTCTTGGTCCCATCCCCATTTGCTTTCCTTGGGGCATTTGAAGCGACGCAGCCATAGCCCTGGGATGCTGGAGGGAAGAGGATAACAATTTGACTTTCTTTCTTGAACCTGATCCAGGCTGGGCATGTTAATCACCTGTCTACCAAAGACCCTGAACCTTTTTGTTGTTAAGTGTTATTATTGTTAAGTGCCATTGAGTTGGTTCTCACTTATAGAGACCCTGTATAGGGTTTCTGAGGCTGTTAATCTTTGGGAGAGCAGAAAGCTTCATTTCTCTCCTGCAGAACAGATGGTGGACCTTGTGGTTTACAGTCCAGTGTTTATCCTATGGAGTCATCGTGCTCCCAAACCTGTTTTGGTGGTAGTAGTGTGCCGTGGAATCGGTTCCAACTCATAGCAATCCTGTATAGGGTTTCCAAGGCTGTAAATCTTTACAGGAGTAGAAAGCCTCATCATTCTCCCATGGAACAGCTGGTACTTTCAAACTGCTGACCTTGAGGTTAGCAAACTGACTCCTAACCACTATGCTACAAGAGCTATTTTAGGGAGGGTGAAATTGAGGCTCAGATAGTCTGAGGTCACACAGAGAGGGGTTCTGGGCCAGGATGGGTCTTGGACTCCAGAATGCTAACACTTAACCTATTTTCCCATTAGCAGTAAAAAAGGTCAGGGTGGGAGCAAACTCTTATCCCTGCAACACACGTGGGACATCAAATAGTTGGGTGCTGGAGCTTGGTGGTGTGCCTTCTCTGAATATTTTTCTGACCGTCGCCTCAGAGCTCCCCAGTAAGGAAATCTCTGCCTCCCTCTGTTGTGGATTAAATTGTCCTAACCCATAGAATCTGTAAACATCACCTTGCTTGGAAGTAAGTTCTTTCATGATGTTAAATTAAGATGGGGTCATTCTGGAGTAGAGTGGGTCTTAATCCAACATGACTGGCGTCTTTATAAGAAGAGACACAATTATGGATCACATTGTGTCCTCCAAAACTATGCAATGAAATCTTAACCCCTGTACCTCACTATACCTGTACAAGTGATCCTATTTGAGAATACGGTTTTCTATATTATGTTCATGAGTCAGATCAGTGTCAGATGTGTCTTAAACCTAACCACTTCTGAGATGTGCAAAGGACACATTAGGCACAGATACAAGCAAACACAAAAGGGGGATGGGGATAGATGTTGTATGGAGATTGTCAAGGAACCAAAGAACTTCCAGAGGAGGAGGGGGAGAGAGAAAAAGCGCTCTAGCTCCTGAATTCAGACTTTGAGCCAACTGAACTATGAGAAAATAAACTTCTGTTGTTTAAAGCCACCCAGTTACAGTGTTTCTATTACAGTGGTTGGGGTGATGTGCCGTGGAGTTGGTTCTGACTTGTAGCCACCCTGTGTAGGATTTCTGAGGCTGTAAATCTTTACTGGAGCAGAAAGCCTCATCTTTCTTCCTGGTAGATTAGAATTGCTAATCTTACATAACCCACTCCCCTGCCAGGGTTCCTTTCCATTTCAGTGGTGGTGGTGGTGATGTGCTGTGGAGTTGGTTCCAACTGATAGCAACCCCTGAGCAGGGTTTCAGAGGCTGTAAATCTTTACAGGAGCAGAAAGCCTCATCTTTCTCCCATGGGTGACTGGTAGATTCGAACTGCTGACCTTTTGGATAGGAGCCCAATTTGTAACCCACTACACTACTGGAGCTTCTTCTATTACAGTTGTTGTTATTAAGTGTCCTCAATAATGTTGTTGTTAAGTGCCTTCGAATCGCTTTTGAGGTATAGCGACCCTGTATAGGATTTCCAAGGAGTGATTGGTGAGCTTGAACCGCCAGCCTTGAGGTTCAAACCAACTTTGCAGTCCAGTGCACTAATGCACAGCGTCACTCCAGGACTCTTCTATTACAGTTGTTGTTGTTAGGTTCCATCGAGTCAGTAGCTACTCACAGCGACCTTATGCACAGCAGAACGAAACAACCTCACTACTGTTGCCATGCTTGCGTCCTTATTACAGTAGCTCTAGCTAATTAACTAAGAGCATGTGATGCTACAGCTGCAGGTTGGAATGCCAGGCACCACCGGAAGCTAAGAGAGAGGCATGAAATAGATTGTTCCACAGAGTCTCAGACATGGGATCAACATGGCCAACACTCTGAACTCAGACTTCTAGAGAGAGGCATGAAATAGATTGTTCCACAGAGTCTCAGACATGGGATCAACATGGCCAACACTCTGAACTCAGACTTCTGGTCTCCAGAATGGCAACAATATATTTCTGTTCTTGTAAACTGTACACTTTGTGGTACTTTGTTACAGCAGCCATTGGAAACTAATTCAGACCCCACCACTGAAACCCAGCCTACACATGAACTAACTAATGAGTATTTGCAGAGCGTGAGCCAGGTGCTCACTTCAGAGTGGGGGTGTATCCCACTGCTCTCCTGAACCTATACCCTCCACGCTGCTCCCCACCCCCTGGCCTGCACACATCATCTCCTGTTACTCACTTCTAGAATTTCTGTGGTATTACAAAAATGGCATGGAGGCAGCATCTGACTGCTGGCTTCATAAGGAGGACAGAGAATCAAACCAAACATCAGCCCAAGGCTAATTCCTGTGAGGTGGTCAGTTGTGACTTCACCCTCCAACCTTCTTGACCAATGCTGGCACAAGATAGCCCTCCCACGGCACTCTGCTGGCTTTGAAAAGTCGTTACAAAGGCTACACAATTCACAAACCATACTCACTTTTAGGGAGTTTATTAGGGTGGTTGTTAAGTGCTGATGACTCAGTTCTGCTAGAAGAGTGGTTGGTGGGTTTGAACTGCCAACCTTGTGGTAAGCAGTCTAGAGTTAGCAAGTTACAATTCAGGATCAGAAATGCTCAAGATACAGTTCTTCAGTCAGGACAGTCTCCTCTCAGCTGTGCCTGCTCAGCTCACATGCCTCTCTCTGGCCCTCAGCCTCTCAGGCCCTTAACTGTACTGATGAAGTGCCCATTTCAGTCGTAAGCCTCTCCACCTTCCGGAAGGCACTCAACTCTGTAGACCAGCAAACTGAATTCCCCCTACCTATCCCTTCCTATTAAGTGCCCGGACACACGCCCCTCTGCTAACTTCCTGTCATAGGCACTCAGCTTTCTGATTCCAGGCGTGTGAGGTTCATTGTTCTGTCGCTTGCTTCTGCTCTAGCTTTTGTTGCCTCTGCTGCCACTGTTGTCTGCCATCTCTGACTGTCTCTGGTGTCCCAGTTCTGTTGCCTCCCGGATCGAAGAGCTCAGACCAGGGATCAAGGGTTCCAAAGGACACAATCCACTCTTGGTTCTTCTTCTTTTTGATTGGTAAAGGCATTTTTACTAGTGTTAGAATGTTTTGGAGAGCAAAGACTTATGGAATTCATTTTAAAAAAAGCATTTCCAATATCTCTGAGGTACCAAAGCTATTGAGTCTAATTTATCTTTTTTTTTTTTTTAAAGCTTTTACTGTGAACTGAGTGATAGTTTATATCAGAGAACATCAGTTTTGCACTCAACCAATCTGGTAGTATAGTGGTTACAAGTTGGGCTACTAACCTCAAGGTCAGCTGGTTTGAAACTACCAGCTGTTCCGCAGGAGAAAGATGAGGTTTTCTGCTCCTGTAAAGATTTACCGCCTCGGAGACCCTGTACAGGGTTGCTATGAGTCGGAACCGACTCCACGGCACACCACCAGCATCACCAATTGTATTTTGTTTCATTGCAATGAGTACAATACCCTCCATGAACCATTGGTTAACAGTAATTGCCTCTATTCCCTCTTTTTTTTTTTTTTTTTTATGTGCACTAAAACACACAGGAATATATAGTTCTTTTAAACAACCAGAGGGCACATTTTGCAAGCCAGCCTCCTGCTCACCAGCACACATGGTTCTTCTTTTTTAATGATGGCAAGATTCCCCACTTAAAATCTAGTGGGATGGAAAGATTGACTCCTCATTAGAGTCCTATACACTTTATTTGTATTTTCTTATCACAAATCTGTGCCATATACTTTATTTGCATTATTATTAGCAAACTATCCAATCCTCTTATTGTTGTTGTTAAGTGCCATTGAATTGGTTCTTATTCATAGTGACCCTGTATAAGGTTTCTGAGGAGTGGTTGGTGAGTTTGAACCACTGACCTTGCAGTTCAAACCAACCTTGTGGTCCAGTGTTTATCTTATGGGCCACAAACACCTTATATTTGCCTAGTCCTTTGGACTTCTGGTGTGGTGCTGTAAGATCCGCACTGGACTGCAAACCACTAAGTCGGCAGTTCAGGCTCACTAGCTGCTCCTTGGAAACCCTAAATAGGTTCTCTATGAGTTGGAACCGACTCAACAGCACTTAACAACCCAGTCATTGGAGTCTGGTGTGATGCTGTAGGATAAGCACTGGACTGCTAACCACAAGGTCAGCAGTTCAAACCCACCACCTGCTCTTCAGAAATCTTATACAAGGTCGCTGTGAGCTGCAACCAACTCAATGGCTCTTAGCATCAACAACC